TTGTGTTGCTCAGTTTTTAGAATTATTTGTTGAGTTATGTGTATCGTTGTTTGTCTTAACGTTTATTGCCATGGAATAGTCAGTATGTTTCGACTTATGAGTTTGATATTCGTTTGGGATATGAGGCCTCTCCTATCCATGTAAATCCTAAGCAAATGTGTTTTTTCTTCTTGATATGCACGGTGACCAAAACAACGTATATTTCTTCTTTGTTTAAACTTAGAATTGTAGACATTCATATCTAAATCAGGAGAAATTTCTATCATCTAATCGAAAATACAACTTGGAGTCAAACAAGGTGTTCGTTTTCTATGTTTCTATACATAATTTGAATTTTGTAGAAATAGATTAATTATGTACTTTATATACAGATATGCCACGTTTTGTTTGACGGGGTTTAGTTTGAATGATAAAATTAGGTATCTAGAAGCTGCGTAATAGTCTTTCTGTAAACAACAACAATATGTTATAAAGTTAAGTCCTCTACACTTTTGAAGCTGTTGTTTATCTGGCATTACTGAAATGCATTTTTTCATTTTCTCTATAACCTCGTTTTTGTCCCCGTTGATTGAAACATTCTTCACATGCCAAAGAAATTCAAGAAGGAGTCCATAAAGGAGTGGGTGAAAACATATTTTTTCTGGCTATTGTCATTACACAACTCCAAAGCCGCTGGTTTTGGTAAAACTGGTAGTTCTACTGGCATAAAAGTAACATTAAACCAAAACTGCTTCCAAATAAGATTGAATACGTTGTACCCACCAACATCATATCCTTTTTTCTTCATAAGTTCAAATTCTTCAATTGTTCTGTACGGATCTTGATCAATCAAGTCTTTGCTTATGATTCGTTTGTACATTTCAATTTCCTTATCTTTGCATATAGGTTCCATGTTTTGAAAACCTCCAATGGCGCAGTTTAACGTTTGTATCACGTGCTGTTTATAGTTTACCTTAACAAGGTTATTTTTGTTAGTTACCGTCCGTATTAGTTTGAGGCAATCTTCTGTAACACCATCGTCTAGGTAACATGTAGCAATACGCAGATAAGTGTTAGTAACTTCTCCTTCAAAACTCAATTCTATGAAATTTGTATACTTTGTTCGATGAACAAGCACATATTTGCTTGTCTTTCATTAGAAGAACATATTGAAGAACGCCCATGCAATTTTGCAAAATCTTGACAAACGGTTGAGCATAACTGACTGTTATCAATTTTTCAAGTACCTCATGACATCGTAGTAGGATTTTGTTTATTTTATAACCATCATATAATTTCCAAAATGCACGCCCACCAGGTGCGTGGTATTGTTGAGTTATGAATACTCTTAATTGCAGCCAGTTTTCGATGAACCTTTCTTGACTAATTCTATTCAATACAAGACGAGGAGTGTTTTGATACATTTTGTATGTTGGTAAAATTAAGCTTATGCTAGCTGTCGGGTCTGTTAAAAAACTATCTAGGCATTGTACTATTTTGATTTGAATATTACGGGTTAATTCGCTTAAAATGAACTGATTTTGTTTTCTGATGAAATAATTCGGAAGAAACCTTTTCTTCACAAACGATTTCAGTTTTTAAATGCAAAAGCAAACACAAAAGATCAAATCTGATGATTGCAAAAGCTTCTCAGATTTTTCTTCAAGACACCAAAACATTACAGTTTTTGTTGTATATGAGGTAATATTATTTCCAGTTATATCAGAAAGCAACCTAACCCTGAAAAATTTTAAAATAATAATACAGTGAATTTGAGTTTCATTTAATGACTCAACTATTAACTGCTCAGCTTTGTTAAAGGATACTCTCCATCGAATTTCATTGTCTTTTGATTCTTTACTTCAAACTCCAGCAAGGTAAATCCCGATTTGATGATATCATCGAATAAGTGTTGTGATGACCACTTTGCAGACCTTCTCCTTGTCTTTCACTCGGAGGCCTCAACAGGCCACTGTTCGCCTCTTAAGCAGGCAACAAAATCTGTATTTATGTCACCGACACTAATCGAAATATTAATTTCAGTAGCATTTCCGGCTTCACGAAGTAAAGAATACGTATCTTTTGGTGGATAATAACGAGTATTGAGTGCTGGTCCGTGAATGCTTACTTCTTCTGGGTAATCTTTCTGATGTTTTGAAAGTGTCTTTACGTTACTAGTATTTTTTAAGCAATGATTTCAACCATGAAGAACCAAATAATCAATCAAACCTTCGCCGCATTTTGAAACAGATAACTTTGAATACCCTGGGTACGCTAGGTCAGGTATTCTTAAATTTTTAAAGATACGAGCAGAAGATTTGAAATTTTCTGCTTCGCTTAAATGATCCCAAACCTTGCATTCAACAACTGAGATAAAATCTATGTCACTAGAGGTCAAATCCAATCCTTCCGCAGAGCTTCCAACAGTCTTTTCTTTTCTTTATAGTTTTCTGTCGAAGGTTCACCAAAGGTAATACTATACCACATGCATTCAGTACAGATGACAACTGCTCTGAAATAGTCTTCAAATCCATGACTAAAATAAATAAATTAATTTTCATTTGAGATAAGATCACCATGACACGATAAATTTGCAGAATTTTCTACTTTTATAGGAAAGTTTAGGTAAATTAGACAAGGGGCACTAGTAGACTACCGATGTTCAACTCTAATGAATAATTTCAGAACATACAAATAATGGTAAAATTTAAAAAAAAACTGAGAAAATCACAAAACAATCTCCAAAAGGAACAAGAGCAGATACGACGATTAGCTAGGCGTCGTCTACTTTGTATGATTACAAACCAAGCGAATGCACCCTTTACCAATAACATATGACAAGGAGGATAAAGACACAAACACATCGTCGTTTAAAATACGATTTTTCTGGCATGTAATGTACTGTCGATATCAGTTGTTTTTCTGAACAACTCTGTTGCTGTAGTTTGTTGTGTCATACAAGTAGTGACTTACCTTGTTAACTCAAATTTGATACGAGGTGGAAGAAGAACGAATTGTAGACATACGAGTTGACGTGGATCTTACTTGTACACCAAAAAGGTTTTTTTTAATCATAAGAGCCCCGTTGCATGCAGTTCATCAATAGATAAAAAGCTGCATCGAGTCTGTTTATTTTTAGAAACATTTGCTGAATAAATTTTATAAGGAATGTAACGTTATCCATGAAGTCTAATCAGTAATCGTTTTCGTTTTAAAACACTTCCGAGAACTAGATCGCATGACGCAATCGACACTATAATACTTAAACTTGAGAGAGCATCAGTACAAAAAATGTAGCACCTTTGCAGAATGAGCCCTCAATGAAATAATACAGACTTCATGCGGCCGAGTTTGGTAGGAAGATATATAGTTTACAACTTTTTTAAGTTGCAACTCAACCGCAGATGGATTTGCTCAGAGCATAGATTAGATAAAGAAACTATTAAAATCGACACTAAATTTCATGAAAGGACAGAAACATTAGTGAGACCAGACGACATATTTTGAAGTTCCTTTTTAGGACTTGGGAATTTCAATGTCTTTTCTTAACAATTCCCTTAGTTGTTCATCACTTAAATTTGATCGCTTAATCGATTTATGACTATTGAACAGCGGTATACTACTGTTGCCTTTTCTTACAATACAAAGTTCCGTGTTATTGTATGATCATCAGGAAAATTTTATATGAGGACAATGAAAATGATCACTCGGGAGATTTGTATAGAACACGTAGAATTATGACACCTCTACGAGGGTCAATGTCCTAATACTCCTTGCTTGCTTACATGCTTGGTGTTGGTTAAAGAAATGAAGGTTATGGTTTTATATTTGAAAAAATCCGGTAGCTTTATTTCTGGTATAATCAATAAAAACTCTTCTTATAGTATATTGGAACATATTTTCTTATTAAGATAAGTTTGCATATATAGCTAGTTCATGTAAGGTTTCGTATTTTAAATGTATTATAACTTTACCTACCTATTTAATCGACTTAAAGTCTGTAGTTTTAAATGAAATGTAAACCCCTATAGATATACGACATACAATTAGTGACTGTCCTACTTTTATACCATAGATGACCTTGAGAATTTAAAGCATTTATTGTTATCATAACAGTATTTAATCAAATAAAATAAAATTAAAAACCAATTGTTTAGAGAACAATTGAAGGTCTTTCCACCCGTAAAGATATATTTTGATATGAAAAATATTAAAACTCGGTTTAGAATGCCATTTCCAGCGACAAATGATAGCTAATTGTACGCTGATTCCAAAAATATATGGTTACTATACAATTTTTTTTAAATAAGGGAGATAATTTGTTACTTCCGGTTTGAAAATATTACTTTCGGTATTATTTGAATGTTTACTTGACACTGGTTCCACAAATATATGGTTCTATATACTTTAATATTAAATAAGTACAAAAAGAAGCTACTTCTGGTTTACACAAGGTCACTTCCTGTTGGCTTTTCCAAAGTAAAATGGGTTGTAACATAATGCACAAGTCTCATGGCTTTATCATGTATACATATGAGGTAAAAGCAAAGGTCTAAATCTAGAATGTCAAATTTACCTATGACCTTGTGCTCAATTTCAACGTCATAAACCAAACATTTCAAATCAAAAGACCCTAGGTCTTAATTATATATGGTTAATGAGTTATATCTCCATACGCGTATTTTCAAATACAAGATGGGATGAAACTCTAAGTTAATGTTAGCGTACCCTTTAAACCAAAATGTGTGTGTTACGACATGTCGCAACTAACAATTTAGTATCATTTACTTGTACAAAAAATATACGCGACATCTTGCGAAACCACAAACACCGTAAGAAAAAATGTGGCGGAAGAAGGAAAAATTAATAATCAGAAGAAAACCAATAGGTCTTTCCACAGAAAAGTGGAAAGACCTAATTACAAATGTAACACTGGACGGTCTTTCAAACTACCAACTCACATTTTTTTATAATACAGATTGGAGTAAACTTAAAAAAAAAAAGATATGCAAAAGATAACAAAGTTCAAATACTTTTATGAATTAGAAGGAAATAGTTTAATGCGTTTAAAAACCACCTTATGTATTTCTAAACTAACAAAAATATCAGGTGTATAAATTTATACGAAACTGTAAAATAGGGGGGAAATCAGTTACCACTGTGGTATAATCTTAATCACTATAAAAACAAATGAATATGTAACAAAGAAACACAAAAAGGCATATATACAAAGCATATTTGTAAAACAAAAAAAAGGAAAGATAAGAATACAAAAATTTACCATTGCACAATGACGGGATGTATAAATACAGAGCGACGTTATATGTTATAATGAAATAAAAAAAATGCATATATATATATATATATATATATATATATATACAAAGCACATTAGCAAAAAATGAAAATCAAGAATACAAAAATTGTACCAAAGAACAATAAAACAATGACGGAAAGTACAGAGTCACGTCAAATGGATATCTCCAAAAACATATCAAACAGTAAAAGTAATATTCATAAAAACAAATAAAAGAATACTATTACACGCTATTAAGATGATAAACAACGTCAGTACCCAGAATCTATAGTTCAAAACCATTGAGTATTTTTTTGTGAAGTTGATACGGAATATTTATCAACAAGGTCTTGGTACCTTCCGAAGAACTGTTTTAGAAAAAGGATGAGGCGTTCTTTGATATACCCCTGGTTCATCAACTTTTAGCTCAGACACTGGTGACGTTTCACAATGTCTGAGTAGCAGCTGCAAGCTCTTGAATACCGAATAAGGAAATATATATCCCATATGCAGGTGAAGTTATGTAACAGTACAACATGAGAACAAATTATAAACGCCAGTTGAAAAGGCTTAATTCATCAGATCGATACAAAGCAGAAACACATCTCACAGAAAAAACAGACCGGATTTTCGTCATCATATACTTTGCAGATTGTTAATTATATTAACCAAAAGTATAAATAGCATATATATTAATATTAATATTAATATTATTCATTTTCAACATTAAACGCATTTTTCCAGTGTAAACTGAAATGTTAAAAAACCAACTTTACTTAGAAAACTATTATAGCTATCTTTAAGTTAAAAATTCATGAGATTATACAACAGTTTTGCCTTGTTTAGAAAAAAATGTCATGGTCAAGGATGAACATAGGCTTTTCTCAAAAGATTGATGATATACTTGATATACAGATATGCTACGTTTTGTTCGACAGGGCTGAGTTTGAACGATTGAATCAAGTATCTAGAGGCTAAGCAATGATCATTTTGTATCGAACAACAATATATCATAAAATTAATTCCTCTAGACTGTTCTGCACCTGATATCCTGGAAACGCAGTTTTTCATTTTTTCTAGAACCTTTTCCTTTTCCTCATTCTTGGAACAATTATTCACATGCCAAATAAATTCAAGAAGTAGTCCATAAAGGAGTGGGTGAAAACTTATTTTCTTCTGGCTATTGTCAATGCACAACTCCAGTGCCGCTGGTTTCGGTAAAACTGGTAATTCTGCAGGCATAAATGTAACGTCGAACCAACACCGCTCCCAAACAAGTATAAATGCGTTGTATCCGCAAACAACATGACCCTCTTCCTTCAATTGTTCGAATTCTTCAATTGTTTTGTATGGATCTTGGTCAATAAGGTCTTTGTTTATGATTCTGTTGTACATGGCTATTTCATGAACTTTGTAGTTAGGTGAGATGTTTTCAAACGCTTTAATAGTGTTGTTTAATGTTTGTTTAACGTACTGACTGTAGTTTTGCATTAATAAATGATTATCCGGGTGGTCTGTTACAGTCCGTATGATATTGAGGCACTCTTCTTTTACCCCATCATCTAGGTAGCACGTAGCAATACGAAGGCTGGTATGTGTACGGTCTCCTACAAGACTCATCTTCATGTATTTTAGATACTGACTTCGTTCAGTAGTGTCAGTTGTGTCTTCAACTGTTAGCTTCTTTTCCTTCAGACGGATATATTCCAGAACGCCCATGCAATTTTGCAAAAGCTTGATAAAAGGCTGTGCATACATGACTGTTGTCAATCTCTGCATGGCGTCTTTACATCGGGATAAACTTTTTTTTGTATTATATACGTCATATAGTTTCCAGAATGAATGCACACTAGTAGCGTGATACTGTTGTGCCATCGATATTCTTATTCGAAGCCATTCTTCAATGAAAATTTCCTGACTGATTGCATCCAAAACGGGAAGTGCAGTGTTTTCGTACATTTTGTATGTTGACAAAATTACACCGATGCCAGCTTTGGGGTCTTCAAGAAAACTCTCCAGGCATTGTCTGGTTCTGGTTTGTATGTCATCCGAAAATTCAGTCGAGATGAACTGATTTCGTTCCCTGATAAAGTAGTTGGGGAGAAACCCTTTTTCAACAAAACTTTTTAGTTTTGACATGCAAAAGCAAACACAACACAATAGATTTGATGGTTGCCAAAACTTATCAGATGTTTCTTCCAGAATCCAAAACATAATAGTTTTCATTGTATATGATGTTATGTTTTTCCCAGCTACTTTTGAAAGCTGACTTGTCTTCAATAATTTCAAAAGCATAATGCAGTGAATTTGTGTTTCGTTGAAAGACTCAATTAGTAACTGTTCGGCACTGTTAAAGGATACTCTCCATTGAATTTCACTCTCTTCAGATTCTTTACTTCCAACTCCAGCAAGGAAATAGCCTGATTTGATTATATTGTCAAATAGTTCTTCAGTCGGCCAATTGTAAGTCCTTTTCCTTTTCGTCCACTCGGAAGCCTCTGATGGCCATTTGTCGCCTTTAAGGCAAAAAACGAAATCTGTATCCTCTATTCCATAGTCACTCTCTCTTTCGAAATCTGCAACATTAATAGGTGTCGTACTACCTGCCTGTCGAAAGAATGACGCGATATCTCGGGGAAACAATTCCGTATTGACCGCTGGACCATGAATAGTTAAATTGTTTGGGCAGTGCTTTTTAAATTCGAGACTTTTTTCTTTCAAAGTATTTTTTAAGAACTTTGTGCGACCCTTGTGATGACAACAATCTTGTAGATCGCTGCGAATTTGTGAGACAGCTAGCTTTGCATACCCAGGACATGTTTTGTCTGGTAGTCGTAGAACGTGATTAAGTGTTGGATAAGACGATTCCACGATATCCTTTTCATTTATATGTTCATAAACCTTAAAGTCAGAGGAAATCAAGATAATATCTGTGTCACTTGAAGACAGGTGTTTATATTGTCGATCAATTGCTGTCCCTAACCCTTCAGCGGTGCTTCCAACAATTATAGCCTGAGATTCATTTCGAAAATTGTCAATAATGTTCCCTATTTTGTTAGCATAGTTTGCTTCATTCTGTCTTAAGTTCACCAAAGGCAAGGATGTACCACATGCTTTCAAAATAGCTGACAGATGAAATTCCGTAAAATTCATAACTGAAAAACAAATGAAACATTCATTTCTTATTCAAATGTATATTACAACTTAATGTGCGAAATCGAAAAGTTGTGTGCCTTTATAAAGGTTTAATACGTTAAAACAGTTTTATATCGTTTCAGTATAGAAGAAGAAGATGTTTTATTTCCATTAAATGGACTCACAAAGAGCATAAAGCAATATTTGTTTTCTAACATTAAATGTATATCTTACCAAATATATATGAATTTGTCTACGTAAACATCCGTTTTGATGTAATTTATTTCTTCCGCCTTGTTCAATCTTAATATGGTTTGAACATGTTGAATGTTTAAATTAAATGTTAAAATAGTTGTGTACATAGCGTAGATAATTGGTTTATCCACTAGTACATTCACAAAGGTTATTTAAAAAAAACTTTTATCATAATATCATAATAATGCATAATGATATAAATAAAGTCAACTCATTACATAGTCGGTGGTAACCAGGGACCTATTTGCATGTCACGCATTCAGGAAACATTTACACGATTAAATGCAAAATTATATGAAAAACATTTCATTGTAAACTATCCACCAATGTTCAAACAAAGTGTTTGTAAGCAATTTTTTTATAAAAGGCAACCGTACGGCCTTCAACAATGAGAAAAACCCATACCGTATAGTCTGCTATAAAAGGCCCCGACATGAAAAATTCAATTGAGAAAACAAACCTAATTTATAACAAAACAATTTACGAAAACAAATATGACAGTCCTGTTTTATGAGGCCGATTGAGATTAACTATGATCCGGATGTACGATGATGTTGATTATGGCAATTATAACAACTTTCATATATCACATTTCAATTCACTCACAAACTGGCTTCTACTTGGTGTCAACGGAAGGAAATCATTAAAATGCATACGACTATATTATCATGATTGTTGATATGCCATCCAATATAACTCTCGTTTTTGAATGGATGTCATATTGTCTAAATGATCATCACACATTACATGTTTTATGACTGTTATTTTATGTTTGTTGCCCATGCATCTTTCTTATTTGTTTTGAGGTTTTGTTCTTTGTGTTTTGGTTTTCTATGAACTGGTTCCCCATTCAGGACAATTGTTTCGATATCCTCTAATTGTTATTGGCAGTGTGAATTGCTTCAGTAATAAACGATAGCCATACTCAGATACGGTTTGAAATAAGTCGAGAATCAACAGAGGGATATTTTGTGTCTTAATTGGTTGTATCAGATATTGACTTACATCTAGAAATTGACAATGAGGGTCGGTTGAAAACAAAACTTTATGACAAAAGAGATGATTTCAGCTTCCCAATTGTGAACTTTCCATTTTTATGTAGCAACATTCCAGCAGCGCTTGCACACGGAGTATATATCTCCCAGTTGATACGATACTCCAGGGCTTGTATTGCCTATCATGATTTCTTTGATAGAGGGTTGCTGCTCACAAGGAAGCTATTAAACCAAGAGTTCCAAGTGGTGAAGTTGAAATCATCCCTTCGTAAATTTTACGGACGCCATCACGAATTTGGTTGACCGTTACGGAATATCCGTTTCACAGATGATAGCGGATATGTTCCTAATGTCGTAACTACAACCCCGTTCCCTTTTCCTGAATGTGACCTACCGAATTAGACTTATTACCTGGTTTGTACTAACATGAGCAACACACGACGGGTGCCACATGTGGAGCAGGATCTGCTTAACCTTCCGGAGCACCTGAGATCACCCCCAGTTTTTGGTGGGGTTTGTGTTGCTCAGTCTTTAGTTTTATATGTTGTGTTTTGTGTACTATTGTTTGTCTGTTGGTCGTTTTCTTTTTTTAGTCATGACGTTGTCAGTTTATTTTCGACTTGTGAGTTTTGATGTCCCTTTGGTATCGATTGCCCCTCTCTTATTTAAGTAAACGTTAATAGAAATAGCCATATATCATTGGCTTTCAAATGATTGGTTTGAATGTCGTTCCTGTTGAAGACAAATTCAAGAATCACATTGGTCACATTCAATCTACAAGGTGTTGTTTTCATTTTCTAGCACTCAGTGATTAACGTTGTCGGTGGACTGCTAGTCCTCCCCGAGGGTAGTCAGTTCTTCGTTGGTTGGTAAATTTACATTAAAAATTATTAAAAATGAGCAAATTTGAAAAGGTGGATTTCGACTATTCTTTTATGTCCATTCTGATAGTTTTAATCATTAAGTATTCCAGTATTTATAAATCCATTGCATCCATTTTGTAGGGTTCGTGATGTAGGTAAATCTAGAAAAGCACTTGAGACTTCGTAAAGTGCTATTTCTGCTGTTTACAATTTGTGAATTTAGGTATCCAAACATGCTATGTAGCTTGTGATAATGCTGTTCTTAAAATTAAAAACAAAGATAAAAACAAATTCAAAAGAAGTCGCAACAAATTAAATTAAACAAAGACGCAAACACAGAAAAAGAATATAAGAGTTTATAGTACAGTATAGTAAAACACAATGATATATATACACTTTTCCGATAAAGTACAAATTAAGTAAAATATAAATACACGGGTATATAAAATGAAAACAACACTATAAAAACTTCATGAGTTCGAATCGCACTATGTTACCCACCGGATAACAATACTAACAATATAAATTTCACTGCTCTGCTATGTATTTCGACAGTTACTGTTTCTGGAGAGATGCTCGAGTCCAAAATACTTTAAACATAAAAAATAATGTAAATCAAAATTTGAAATGTTATATAACCGAAAAATACCAAAAGTATATCGAAAACCTTACAAAATATCAGAGCTATGAAGGGTGACATTTGTCTTTATCAAAATGATTTCTTAAGTTTCATACCAGAAAATTTCAATAAAACAAATATTCGTATTATCATGAAGTACTTAACTTTTGGGCTGGTTACCAGTCCACCAGCAGAGGCATCGACTTAGTGGTATGAAAAACATTAACGGTACCAATGTTAAAGCACCAGACGTGTATTTCGATAATTGATGTCATTTCATTGGTGCTCGAGGTTGACATATTTGAAGATCAAAACCGATTACGATTGTTTTTAGGGCTGATATAATCGATAAGGACCAAAAATATTAGAATAACCGAAAAAGATTCAGCACTATCCATGAGGGAGATACATTCCATAATTAAAAAGAATTTCCTAAGTTTTGTTTTTATTCAATTATGCCTTCAGTTTTGTTCGATGACATTTCAAAATAAAAAAAACATAATGCAAACGTTGAAAGAACTGAAACCAAAAACAAAGTTGAGCCAAACCTGGATAATTAAACAGATCTGAGTATGATGGAGATGCATTCATAAATTTAAAATGATTTCTGAAGTTTAACAACAGCAAATCTCAACAGAACAACTAGTTGGCTGGTGATAGCTCGATTACTAACATTCAACCAGCAGGGCATGGACCTAGTGGTAGTAATATCATTAACAGTACCAACTGTACTGACAATAAATGATCATAAATGTCTCGACAGTGGTGCTCGAGTCGAATGTATAAATCAAATAAATGTCAAAACAAGATTATCCTACGACAGAATTAATTGATATATAAACATTGTTCATTTAATTATATTTGGTTGACCTTTATTCGAGTTTAGAGTGATTGGTCTAGATATCAGCATATTAAAAACTATATCCTTCCATTAAGTAATTGCGAATTCTTATGACTATAGTAATATTAAGTATTGTTCAATTTATAATGTATTTTAAGTTTTGAAATACCAATATTTAAGATGAGATTTTCAGGAAGTTTATCTTCTTATAATTTTTTTCTATTTTAGTTTTTATATTCGTCCGAACAACAACAAAAAGGACTAAAATAGATCAACCATGCTAACATCACTGTACCTGTGTCGAAGTCAGGTTGTCTTTCTTTGTATCTCATTGTGTGTTTTCCTATATAATTAATTGAATTTGCTACAGATGACATATGTTAGTAGTATGTAATACGTTTTGTAAAAATTTGTCTAGACTCGTGGAGGTCGGAATATGTGTAAATTAATTTATGTATTGTTTTGTAAACCTTGACAAGCAAAAAGAATATAATACATCTACGCTATGAGTTCTATATTGCATATACTAAAACCAAATTATGGTAATTGTAAAAACACATTTCTTTACGCCTAGTACAAATGAGAGGTTGAAAAGATAATCGCCGACGAGACATGAAGAGGTAAAAAAAAAGGATATAAATCTCCTAGTGCAATGATCAACTTATTCTCCAATGCCCAAGCATATATACACCAGTTTAGTCCCAAAAGAAAACATTGAACGATTCCCGATCAATATGGAGTTATATACTCAAAATTGGAACGATTTGGGTGAAGTTACATGCAAATATATAAACACATCTAATACTTTTCAGATGTGTTTCTCTTTCATATAAGTAGTCTTGGTTTGTGAGGTTGTGTAATAGTTTTCCAAGATTCTCCATGCATTTGATATAGATGTGTCCATCTGTTTTAGAGGCATCATATTTATAACTACATTGGGTCAAAAAACGGCTACTATACAAACATTCGACATAATATTGATCGATATATACTCCATTGCAGGTTTAGACCAAAACAGTCTCTATAAATTAACTATACAGTTTTCAGATCTGACGGTCATGTTAGTCCGAAGTGTATACCGGGACCTTTTATAGCTTACTATATCGTATGGATTTTGCTTATTATTGACTTGTAATTGCTCACATTTTTGTTCTTTTTGGTCTTTATTGATAGTTGTGAATTTGTCTCATTAACAATAGCATACTATATCTCCTCCATTTTTTTTTTTTTTATATTTCTACCAAATATAAGGAACAGAAGCACACGATACGGTGCACTTGCATAGACTCAAAAAGAGGCAGGGGAAAATTACATATATGGTACAAAGATCTCGGCAAAATATTTTCAGAAAACAGATATGTATTTTATAAAAAGTTGTTGGGGTTTTTTTTGTCACCACTCGCCAACCCTATTACTCATGGTGTAACTCGGTAACCAAATTCTGTTAGCGTTATCGATAACAAAATCAAACCAACCCGACTTATTGTTAAGTCTGAAAATTAAAACTGCTGAAATGTGTATTGAAAAAATTCATCAAATATACCAGTGATCAATTTCACCAAAAAACTTGAGAATAAATTGTAAGATTTTTTTGTGAAAAGAGCCTTAGGCTAACACTTTAGTTAGTCATATGCGCGCTTCGTTTTCGCAAGACTCACCAACGGTGTTTGATTAAAAACTGTTGGACTCCTCTCATTTTGGATTCGTTTCAGACCATTTACTACAAAGACACTCAAGATTAGACGGTGTTACAACTGGAACCAATTCAAAATTACCTCACTATAACTTGTGTAATAATGATCATTTTTAATAGTTTAAATATAGATCCCTGACTGAGTACGATAAAGAATAAAAATCATAAACAGCACATTCACCATCAAAATAAAATTAAAATATAGAACCCCAGTAATTGTAAAATTTAATGAAATATTGTAAATCAAACTTGAACTGTTCACATGATACATCTAGAAATATTGTTAAGTAAGTGGTTTGACTTTTTACTATTCCTTATTTATTTTTAGTTTTATTATGATTTATTCATTTAGTTGGAAGATTATTAGCTGCAAAAAAGTAGAAAAATTATACAAATAGCAATAATTATATTGGCTATTATTTGGTTAAGTAAAGTTAAATATTTATTTTAGCTGCAGTTTAGTAAAAGCTTCAAAAATCTCATTTGCTTGATTTATCGAATTCAGCAGAGATTAGAAAAAAAAACATGTTAAAATACGGAAATCGACACTTCAGAAAATTTCATTACAACCTGGGCAAGTCAAGTAAATATCATAAATGACATATTTATTAATACATATTATTAAAAGCACCGTTAAAAATTAGGTATAAAAATGTATATGTTTATAAAAAATATTAAAATGCACATACTCATTTCTCAAAAAGAAATAGTTTCCATAGTTCGAAAATGACGACACAGAAATATTACATAGTAACGGACATAAATCGAACGTTATATTGTAGATCCTGCATATTATATTATTTTTTTCTACGTATTTATTATGTTATTATGACTTTGCTTATTTTTTTTTATTTTTTTTTTATCATAAGCAGAAGCAGTAATATTGGTTTTTTTTTTGAGATTTTTGTTGAAATAAAAAAAAATAGATATTTTTTATATTCATACCTCAGCTCAGGTTTGTACGCAAAATGTAAAAAATTATAACTTTTTGACAATTTGAACAAAATACTAATAGTATCCTGATAATTTTTGAATGCATACGTCCGTTTTACCAACAACTTGATGGCTCGATGATCAATCAATTTTTTTACTATTGTTGTTTTCTGATTGTTGTTTATCTCCTGTCTTGATGCATCGGCAATAAGGTATAATGATGTCTGTTTTACACAATCTCCATAACAGTACAGAATTGACAATGGCAACGATCACCGCACAAAGAGTTGTCATGAAAACAACAAACAAATTGGGATGTCGATGATAAGTAACATAACAACCATGTAGAACTATCATTATCGGCAGCACCCGGAATAGAACAAAAGTGACGAAATTTAGTATAACACAAACACGGTAAAGAATCGATTCATATCCGATTTTACAAATTCGCAATAATTTTCTTGAATGCAAGAAGAAACTGTTTCCCTCTGTTAATAGTGCTATACATGAGTATCCAATAAAAGTCTTGGTGTGCCAGTTATGCCAAAATATAGCAATACACTGCAAAATAAGAGAGAACAAATTAAATTCAATATGTGTCCAAATTACAGAACCGTAGTGATACTGCATTTAGCACAAAACATTAAATATAAAGCGTCAATTTGAGATAAATTAATATGTTGGTATTCATTAATTCATATAAACATGCATAAAGTTACGCCTCTAAAAAATGAAATAAAACGTTATAAATGTCATGCGTCCGAAGCGTTTTTCTGGATTTACCTTGATCAGGAACGCTCAAAGCTGAATATTTGAAAGCCAATAATTATAAGAATCGAACCACTTGAAGAGCTATATGACAAAAAAATACCAAAAATAATAGCCATATTCATCTATATTTAAATAAAGTTGTTTTGTCTTGCAAACATGTCACAAAATTAAATATAGGGATGTTAATCCGACAGCGGCGGCGGTGGACGTGTGAATAAAGCTCATTTGACATATAATGTAAATTCAGAAATTATTGCGAGGTTTTTATTAATGCGAATAATGCGACTGTATGAGTATCGCTTGCATTCTCATATCTAATACATATATATGCACACATATTTTTCTGAAATCGCAATAATTAATCTCGCATCATTGTCCATTCTTCGAAAATCGCAATAATAAATGCACGCAATAATTTCTGAATTTACAGTAATGTGAAAGAGCTTGAAAAATCTAATCTTCCAACGTCGTAGCCACAACAATCCCGTCTTCTTTTCCTGCTGGATTGTGAGCCACCAAATGAGACTGGTCACCGGATTTTTAGTTGCCATGGTCAACTTGACTGGTTCTACTAGTGAAGAAGGATCTATTTACCATTCTGCAGCACCTGACATCACATCGGTTTTGGTAGGGTTCGTGTTGCTTTGTTTTCTGTGTGGTGATTTGTAGACTGTTGAATGTATTTTCGTTGTGTTTGTGTTTGAGGTATTGCTTGTGTCTTCGGCTTATGGTTTTTATTGTCACTTTGGTATCATTTGTATATTTTTCTGGTATTATCTGGTAGAATTGCTTAGAGAAGCAAAAATAAATTGAGTGTAAATGGGTCAATACCATATATTAGATTACAATCGTTCTACGTTTTCTTGATCAAAAATCATCTGCATTTCTCGCACAGAAAGTTCAAACGAATTATTTTAGTCGAATTGTACGAAACAATCGGTTGAGACAGAAATGCTCACTGTGCACTTAAGATCATTTACGGATCTTCAATGCTTGGTATTACCAATGACGAAGTTTTTCAGTTTATAAATAAACTCATCATAGATATATGAATGTTTCTTTGTGAATTTTCTATGTTTTCTGTGTGCCATAGGAGTCATCGTGTGGTGTTAAAGCAATTATGTAGGAATGAATTAAAAAGATGTGTATGTCAATATGACAGTAAAAAAAACACAAAACATCCTGCAATTACATAGAAACTAATTTATAACTATAATTAGGATAAACTAAAACTTACAGCAATATGATGAAGAGTTACCTCCCATTGTTGAATTGATTTTCCATTTATGAAATAATCAATAAAATCGTACACAAAATAACCTATAAATAAACAAAATCAGATCAAACTTATAATGCAGTTCATGTTCTGTAAAATGAGATATTTGATTTTAAACATATGTTATTCATAAGATTATGAATAGGATTTTGCAACAGTTACAGCCTATAAAATCTCTATCCACAAGTAAAAAGAGATATATGTGTTTGTGTTTGTGCTTGTGTGTTTGTTATTTATTGAGTACAAAACCTAGAAGTCACCAAACATGTTTCAAAGGTGAGCAATCACCTGAAGTATCATTCAGAGCCACTGATGACATCCTCGCTTATTGTAACCACAATCCCTTCCTCTATTCTTCGAACGTGACATCCTGAATTAGTCCTATCAATGGGTTTGTAGTTACAAAAGACGACGGGTGCTACATGTGGATCAGGATCTGTTTACCCGTCCGGAGAACCTGAAATCCCCCCTCCCCCCCTCCCCCCCTCCCCCCCCCCCCCCCCCGATTTTTGATGGGGTTTGTGTTGCTCAGTCTTTAGTTTTCTGTGTTGTGTTTTGTGTATACTGGTTGTTTTTTCGTAGTTTTTCTTTTTTTTCCCATGGACTTGTCAGTTTATTTTTTCGACTAATGAGTTTGAATATCCCTTTGGTATCTTTTGCCTCACTTTTATTGAAAGCAATGATGGTTCACTTAGATGCAGATTTAAAAAAAAACAGGTGGTCATAATTACTATGGCTTGCAAATTTTGAGTCATTTAACCATCAGCATTTCCTTTACGGCAAATATTATATGGAATTCTGTATCTTATAATACTTTTAGTTAGTTAAATTTTGTTTTAGAATTAAATACAGTACAAGGTACATTTGTTTAGCTACATTTTATCTCATTTTTCATCATAAACCAGAATAAGCAAATCAAAACCCTAAAATAAAAATGAATAAATATAACACATAATGACAAAAACAACAATAAAAACAATAAAAGCAAACAAACAAATAAGCAACACACTAAAAATTAACGTAGCACTAAAAAATAAACTCAACTTTTTTATTTGATAAAAAGATACAATAATACACTAAAAGAATATCATTGTTGGCAAAAGTACAGGATAGATGTCTTTTATTTAAGAGCAATTTATTTTTAAAAGAAATTGTCCTACGCTTTAAAATTCGACAAGAGGTTACTTTTTAACATTAATAAGAGTCAGGCCGTTGCATTTCTTTCTATATATACATGAAATAGCTAACTTTGGAGATTGCGTATAACATCCATGAAATAAGACTAATAAACGAGGAATATAAGGATTTGTAGTTCAATTATTTGGTGGTGGTCTTCAAAATATGTGATTACTAGACAATTATTAATATCGATAAAACAAAATTCAGAATTTCTGCGTGTGCAACACATGGTTCTTGAACAACCTTCACATCTGCTGATCAAAAGGTCGAAAAGCTAAAAATAAGCATCATTTCAGTTCAAAAACTAAAGGCCATAACAAATAGTTGTTGTATAGGGGGAATCGGTTAATAGTCTTTTCATGCATGGGAAAATGTTTTCTTCCAGTAATAGTTTTTGAAACTATTAACCTGTTAATAGTATTTTACTAGAAAATGTTTGCTTCCAGTTAATAGTTCATACCCAGTATGTATTATAAGGTAAATAGTCTTTTTCGGACAATGTCGTAAAAAAGAATCCACTTATTTACTTGCTATTGTCCGAATGGCCTCTAAATAAGTGTTCTATTATACAGAAAGTACGGGGAAATGTTTGCTTCCAGTAATTAGTTTTTGAAATTATTATCCGATTAATGGTCTTTTTACGGTAAATAGTTCATAATCAGTAAATAGTTATTAAAACTATAAACCGATAATTAATTTTTTTTCAGACAATTCAAAATAAAAAAGTAAATAAATTTATTCGTCTATATATAATTTCATAGAGAAAATACATACTGAGATATAATAATCAATTATAGTAAAGATAATTATCTAAACCTAACTTATACATGTATTTCTCTAATTCTTCGTCAATTTATCCCTTTCTGCACCCATTGTATAAAAAAAAATTTAATCAACGTGTGGTTCGTTTGATCTCAGTTCTTCATTGGTTAAAATCCGATTATGACGTCGAATTTTCTTGCTTTCCTCTGAATTTCCTATTGTGACGGCATGAAAAAAGGCGACCATGCCTGATGACGTCACATAGAAAGAACACATCTTTTTGCAGATCATTCGAAAAGAAGGAATACATTTGCCTGCGTATTGTTTGAAAATCATTAGAGAAACAGATTCCACCACCAAATCTCGTGTAATACGATATTTATCCACTCTCGGCAGTTAAATTTCAAATATTTAAAACGCTCGGCGAGCCTCGCGTTTTAAATTTGAAAATTTAACTGTCTCCAGTGGATAAATATCGTACCACACTCGATGCAGTGGTAGAATCTATATTTCTCTAATTCTTCGTCAATTTATCCCTTTCTGCACCCATTGTATAAAAAAAATTTAATCAACGTGTGGTTCGTTTGATCTCAGTTCTTCATTGGTTAAAATCCGATTATGACGTCGAATTTTCTTGCTTTCCTCTGAATTTCCTATTGTGACGGCATGAAAAAAGGCGACCATGCCTGATGACGTCACATAGAAAGAACACATCTTTTTGGAGATCATCGAAAAGAAGGAATAAATTTGCCTGCGTATTGTTTGAAAATCATTAGAGAAACAAATTCCACCACCAAATCTCGTGTAATACGATATTTATCCACTCTCGACAGTTAAATTTTAAATATTTAAAACGCTCGGCGAGCCTCGCGTTTTAAATTTGAAAATTTAACTGTCTCGAGTGGATAAATGTCGTATCACACTCGATGCAGTGGTAGAATCTATATATAACAACTTTAATCAACATGGCTTATGGATTATATTGATACGTAATCCTACGTCACATTCCTTAAGGATACTTATCATGGCTTAATGGCAATATTTATATACATACCTACTGAATCTGACCAAACAATTCAGTATTTGAACATCAGCATACTGTACATGTCCTGGGTTAGGAGGAAAAAGGGGGGATGAGCGTTCACAAACATGTTCGGATATGGATACAGAATTTTGAAAAAGGGAGGCCCCAAACTAAGCATGTTAAAAGTGCATTAACCATATATTAGCTTCATAAGAGGGCCCGAGTCCCTTGCCCCTAAATCGGCTTCTGGTGTTTAACCACCCCCTCCCCCCCTTTTCCCCACATTATGCATGTGCCTGTCCAAAGCCAGTACCATGTGATAGATATCCATTTAGTGAGTTGTTTCTTTTAGGGTGGCATTAATTATCATTGTCATAGAAAGAGCCAGCGGAAAGAGCAAATTTATCTGTGCGTTATTCGTGCAATCTTTCAATCTTTAAGTATTTCAAATATTTTAATTATCATTGATCTTTTTTAAGCAAAAAACCTTTGATATCAAAAGTTATTTTTTATTAAAAATATTGTTTTGAACGCAAACTTAGCATGCTTTGTATGGGAAGCAGACCTCCTTTTTGTCCAAATAGAACCACTAGTCTAACGCTTTGTATGGGAAGCAGACCTCCTTTTTGTCCAAATAGAACCACTATAACCTAATGCTTTGTATGGGAAGCAGACCTCCTTTTTGTCCAAATAGAACCGCCAGTCTAATGCTTTGTATGGGAAGCAGACCTCCTTTTTGTCCAAATAGAACCACTAGTCTACAATTGGCAAAGGGAAACTATTTGTTTTAAAAGTGTGTAAATGACAGAGTCAAATTGGTAATTGGCAAATGGGCTATTGTTTGACATTTGTCATCCTTGAGTCTTTTATATCTTACTTTACGGTATAAGATTTGCTCATTGTTGAAATCCGTACAGTGTCCTTGGCCTTTGGTGGGTATATTTGTCTCATTGGCAATCAAAGTACATATCCTTATATTTTTATATAGACAATGGAGTATTTTCTTAATTTGAGTGTGCACGTGGAATGATCTAAACTATACTAAACATACCTGAGCAAAATACAACCATGTGGAAAATACACGGATTGCTGGCAGTGTATGGATCTTCAATTAATTCAGGATACAATAACAGACTATAAATATAGAACAATATTCGGGATCAAATTAATTTTACTGCATTTTAATAACAAAGGAAAACAAAAATGATGATGAGGAGGAGGAGGGGGAGATGATGACACCCTAGCCGGACACATTATTCTGATTCCAGGTCTTTGCTCTTTTTCCTGTATGCTGCATGCTTAGCAGAAAGTGGCAAATACCAATTTTCAAGTCTTTGGTTTGACCCGATATTGGATCTTATATACCTATATAAGTTGAGATACATTGAATATGTCTTGGTTTATTGGTTGATTGATTGATTGGTTGATTGATTGCGATTTGCTTTAAAAGTCCTGTGGCAAATAGTTCATGCAACATTAGGACGAGAACAACTTAATGATCAATCAAATAGGTAAGCTCTGCAAAGGTCGACTGGTGTGTAGGGCGGGGAAAATGGATTGCCAGTTGAAAAATTAAGGCATGTTGGATAGGACAGACATTTTTCTTGCAATAGCCCCCCCCCCCCCCCAACCCGACCCCCCCCCCCCCCCCCCCGACCCCTAAAGCATGTGTTACGAGGGCTCTTCTAGTACAGAGGTTATGGGACTATCTTTACAAGATGTATCGGAATGAACGCCCTACTTTTCACCTGACGTGGCCGCGTATTTATACATCCTGGAAAGAAAAACAGACGTTCCCTGAGAGGGGGGTGGGAGTTGGAGAGAAATTGGGACCTATGATATTTCTATACCACGGGCTATCCTCTCTCTAGATTTTGTCCACTGTATCTAAACATCCTCACAGACAAACTTGTTCAGCCCTTTTTGTTCGACCTTTGAGCCCTCTCACAAAAAGGCGTTGTTTTGTCATTCCTATTTATAATTTATTGGTAATCTTGCACTATTACCGCATCATAGGTATGACCTTACTTTGATAAGCAGTTTGTAATTTACAGTTGAACTTATAGCCAGATGTTTTAACTTTCCTTTTAACATAGAAAATCAAATATTAATCATACTTACATAAAACATCAAGCTTATCTTAATACACACATTAGTCATTCATTTTCAATAGTATAGTATTCGCTCGACTTAAGTAAGGATAATATTAATATATTAAATGGAACAGTTTCATTATACTATAATATCTACTTTATGATAGTTTTTGTAATGTTCTCTGTTCAGATCCGGTTTCCCCGCTCAACTGTCAGAATCGCGGACTGGCATTTTAGATGTCCATCTCCGTACATTACCTGTTCATGCATAACAATCCTTTTCAGTCAACTCATTTTATTAATTTGGTATAATTACTTTTTTAATTACTAGTGATACAATACACGATCATAAAATTATGATTCTCCCATTCAATTTTTAAATGTGTGTTAATCTGTATATGAATATCATAATAATGTTATAATTGCTCTCTTTTCAAAATTAGAAATAATTAATCTTACATATTTAAGTGATTCTACCATGCCTATTGCACTTACTGAGCTTATTCATTTCGTAATGTACGTGTTATTGTACATTCTACTACCAGCGGTTATGGGAAAAATCAACAGTAGCAGTCAATATGAATAAAAATGATGATTGAGGTAATCGTCAATGAGACGAAAAGAAAAAAATATAACAGGAAAAATAATTAAAAAAAGACATCTACGTTTACATAAATAGTGTAAAGTAACAAAAACAACTTTTTGTAGGATTGGGTTATTTCTCTTGGTTTGTATATTCTGTGTTGTGTTTAGTATATACTGTTGTTTGTCTTTGGTCTTTTTTTCTTTTTGGCCATGGCGTTGTCAGTTTTTTTCCGACTTATGATTGTGAATGTCCTTTTGGTATCTTTTCCAAATGGATATACGATTTCAATATAACATAGATACATGAATTGCATAAATAACAGGTTAGAATAAAGCTGATAAAATCAACATCGAACTGATGAAACGGGAGAATCACTTTTGAAACTGGCGTGGATTTGTTGAGACCCATTTTCCCTTTTTCTATAAGAAATGATAGGACAAGCGACATATTTGATTTTGTATTATATTTTTGTTACCTTTCAGACGTGTGTGTAATGGATTTGTGAGACATTTTTAACGTTCACTTGTGTGCTCGGTTGTGTGTTGTTTTATTGTTTGTTTGCTTGGTTTTTTTTTGGCCGGGGAGGCCGGGGAGGGTTAAACGGAATGTAATCCACTTCGGACCATTTTAGTACGCCCATTGCACATTCAGTATTATATGTTATATTTCGTTATGTACGATTCATTGTAATTAACATGTTCCTTGTGGGCACAGTGATAAGCAAAACAATACATATGTTACAGTATCTGTGTCAGTATACACCAGCGGCCTGATACATATGTTACAGTATCTGTGTCAGTATACACCAGCGGCCTGATACATATGTTACAGTATCTGTGTCAGTATACACCAGCGGCCTGATACATATTACAGTATCTGTGTCAGTATATACCAGCGGCCTGATACATATGTAACAGTATCTGTGTCAGTATACACCAGCAGCCTGATACATATGTTACAGTATCTGTGTCAGTATACACCAGCAGCCTGATACATATGTTACAGTATCTGTGTCAGTATACACCAGCGGCCTGATACATATGTTACAGTATCTGGGTCAGTATACACCAGTGGCCTGATACATATGTTACAGTATCTGGGTCAGTATACACCAGCGGCCTGACACATATGTTACAGTATCTGGGTCAGTATACACCAGCGGCCTGATACATATGTTACAGTATCTGGGTCAGTATACACCAGCGGCCTGACACATATGTTACAGTATCTGGGTCAGTATACACCAGCGGCCTGATACATATGTTACAGTATCTGGGTCAGTATACACCAGCGGCCTGACACATATGTTACAGTATCTGTGTCAGTATACACCAGCGGCCTGATACATATGTTACGTATACATTATGTATCTTTCAAATTAGGCAAAATTTGTTTGGTTATTTACTAATGAAAATTTGTCTATACTTAAATATTTAGGGAGCTATATTATTACATGTCTAGATGTTAGACGAAATGTTAATTAATGTATGTAATAACAATGATAATTGTAATGATTTTATAGTTCTGATCCTGCCTGGAATTAAATGTATGTGATTTTTTATAGAATGAAGAAAATAACATCTGTCTGAACTTTTTAATGTTTCATTTTTATATATAAAAATGTTTTTCTGTTACAAATCATGATGTATTGTTTTATGTGTACATGTTATGCTGCCCATCAAGGGCCCTTGATTGGAATAATAAATATTCTTATTCTTATTCTTATGAAATAATAAAGTTATGCCGAGTATTCCGATATCTATTAATAGCTGATCATGACGTTATGCGTATTGTTTTAAGTAATTAATAAATACGTACCATAGGCATCCCCATGTACCAGCTATAAGTCCATGTGTACCAGAAACAATAAGATTTCTCCATGTACAAGGATCGGTTCGCACTGACGTCGGAATATTAACCTTTGAAACAATTTTGTTAAATGTGGAAAATGCTACTATAGTTGTACAAAAAACGGGATATCCATACTCCAGATCAGATGTTATTACATTTGTTTTGTTAAGAAACATGATGGTATGTTTAACAGTTTAACCCGGCGTAAAGTCGTTCATGGTTGGTAGACCACATAGTTAATATTTGTAGAGGTGAACACGTTTATCATGTTACTGTTAAACATGTTAAATTCATTTTTATAACACAAGTGAAACTGTGCACTTCAATCTTTCTTTGGTAGGGGTGAGCAGCTGAGACATTAAGTACCCCACCTTTGTTTGTCAAAAATATATACCCTGTCATATATCAATTAACAAAAAAAACAGACCTATAGACATGATAGATATATTCGGATATTTTTCATCTTGTGGTACATTTAATAGTATAGCGATTTTTTTTGTCCGGCTCATCATCACGTTCATGTTTAGTAGCATTACAGTCACGATAATCACACTTTGCTTCTCCAATAAATTCGTCACATTCGTCACACCTTAAACACTTTCATCTATTTACCCCTTTTATGTCTTTCATTATGAAGAAAATTCAATTTCAATAGAAATTACTAGGTCAGATAGTAACACCCCAGAGAGTTTTTTTATATACATAGAAAACTGATAAAAAGTTACATTGCCGTCACCGACACTATGGAATTTCTTTTGATAATTGTTGTCATATTTCATGTATAGAAACCTTTGATTGTTAATTAGGTGCAAATGTCGAAATAATCGGATTTATAGCATCTATAACTAGCATTAGTGAAAATACCACATTGGAAGATAAAAAGAGATTAATTGGTTTGACAAATAGTTGATGCATTTACGACTTAACCCTTCAAAAATAAATACAGACATCTGATTAGTTTCAGATACTTATGATATAATCAAGCAAGTGATAATATAAACCAATTTGAATTTCTCACCCTTTTCATATATACCATAGAGCATGAAATAGTGACCTAATCCAGCGGCTCATCCCTACCACTCATTACATATGAAGTGTCCCCCCCCCCCCCCCCCCCCCCCCCCCCCCCCCTTTAAACAGCAACGTGTACAAATAGAGTTGAATAAGTATTTGGAAATGTAAAAAAAATAATAATTTATTATGTGAGATAGACGCTTTAGTATTTGAACTCATATAGCATTTGATAACTGCTTGATTCTATACCTTGTCAGTTGAATGAATTCAGGCGTTTTTTTTCCATAGCTTTCGAACTATTAGCTTTATCAGCGACTATAATTTCACAAAAGAATTTGAGAGAAAAAAAAAACTCGTAAGTCATGAACATTTCAGTAATATCAGCGACTAATTTCACAAAAACATTTGAGAGAAAAAAAACTCGTAAGTCATGAACATTTCAGTATAACTTACGTTCAATTTTTGTCGTAATTAAGAGGTTTTGTGAAAAGAACCCCAAGATTCTTAAACTATTAAAATACTCGATCATCTACATGTAATAATAGAATTGTCAGTTATAGGCAACAACCTAACAAAAATACCTATCATAATAAACAAGCGCGCATTTATTTCTTTTAATCAGAACATTCCAAACCTGCATTCTAATATTCATGGTATATTTTTATACTTTTGGTTTTCAATCGTTATCTCAAAAGTACAATTGTACGATTGATGCACAATATTTTATATTAATCCAAGGTTCGAGGAAAGTGGGCGTAATTGTCCATTATGTTAAAAAAAAATTTTGACGACTGTATGCGAAAAAATGTAAAGTTTCTATTGTGTACTGGTCACATGAACTGCCTACTTAAAAAAATATATATATATATATGAGTCTAAAAGAATCTTTTAGACTCATATAATTTTCCTTGTTTGTGTAGTATTGTCAATTTTGATGATCCAATATAAGTTTACTGGTTGGTAGATTCTTATAGACTCTATATATATATTTCGTTTCATCTTGACCTAAAGGTATAAGTGTTTTTCAACTTAACTTAGTGTTGTATCGAATTTTCTGTGTTCTCCGGTGCCATTATCCAATCAACAGCTGTGACTAGGCTAAACTTAGTAGCTAGCTTCCTGAATTAATTTCGACCCTGATTTCTAAATTATGTACCGTGTTTTGTTTCCTTGTGGTCATCCTGTTGGTAGCAAGTTTTGTATTGTGTGTTTAATTGCACGACATACGGTCTAGATAGGAAAAGGGGATTTGTGCGCACGAAAAACTGGTTTACCACCCACCACATTTCGAGCTTGTACCAAGTCATGCTATCCGAATGATATGTATAGTTGTCCGTTGTTGTTCGTTGCTGTTTGTCTTTATTTGCAGGTCTATGTTTTCGCCGGGGTCAAGTTGTTGGTGCTAAGTATGGTCTGTTGTATTGTTTACTCCTTTTGGTCATTATCTTTATTATGAATTATCTTTCTGTCCTTTTAACGAGTTATCTGGCAGCCAACTATTCAATATAAATAAGAAGATGTGATATGAGTGCCAATGAGACAACTATCCATCCAAGTCACAATGTATTAAAAGTTAACAATTATAGGTCAAAGTACGGCCTTTAACACGGAGCCTTGGCTCACACCGAACAGCAAGCTATAAAGGGCCACAAAAAGACTAGTGTAAAACAATTCAAACAGGAAAACCAACGGTCTAATCTATATAAAAAACGAGAAACGAGAAACACTTATGAACCACACCAACAAACGACAACCACTGAACAACAGGCTCCTGACTTAGGACAGGTGCATACAAATGCAGCGGGTTTAAACGTTTTAACAGGCGCCAACCTTCACCCTAACCTGAAACAGTGGTATAACATTACTACATAAAAAGACACACAATAAAATATCAATTGAAATGAAAGAATTTATTATTAAATTTGTTTTAAAAAAGCATATGAAATAAGAATTTAATTATTTCTAGAGTGATAAAAAAAAAACTCTATAAAGGATGTTTTCGTTTACTATTGTGAATGTTCCTTTCTTGGTCGGTGATTTTCATATGGCACCTATTTTTGGTCTTTTCTAGTTTGAACATATTAATCATTTGTCATGGCACGTGGCAATTTGGAGAGGTTGGCATTAGACTACTTGTGTTTTGTCGGCTCTGACGGTCGTCTGCGGTCGAGCAGGGGCGAAAATTGTCATTAGCGGGGAAACGCATGGGGATCGGACGTCCGTCTGAAAGACCTAACCATGCATATGCCGAATTCTTTATACATATTTTTATTTTTTGCATTGTTCGATAGCTATCTCAGTGACGTAGTCAGTTCATCTGCTCTTATTCATATTTGTTCTGGTGACTTACTAGTCACTTCTGGATTTCTGGAGGTGTTACCAAAATAAATAATTAGCTAAGTCAGTTCGGAAAGGGGGGGGGGTAAAAAAGGTTATCAAGGATACTAGTTGTAACCCTTTCAAATGAACAATTGACTAACTCAACTAGGGAGCTGGTTAAGTGGTTTTCATGGTTACTAGTCGCAATCCTTTCAAATGAACAATTGACTAACTCAACTAGGGAGATGGTTGAACGGTTTTCATGGTTACTAGTCGCAATCCTTTCAAATGAACAATATATTGACTAACTCAACTAGGAAGATGGTTAAACGGTTTTCATGGGTACTAGTTCCAATCCTTTCAAATGAAAAATTAACTAAGTCAATTCTGGGGGTGGTTAAAATAATTACCATGGGTCCTAGTTGCAACTGTTTCAAACGTACATGTATAATGATTTGCTTAGTTGTTGTTAAAAGTCATTATTGCACTTATTTATTGTCCGATAGTTTCGATGTTATATATTGGTATTTTCAACTTGTAGCAGACTTGAATATAAACAAATGATTGAGTTCTAATGATACAAATGGTTTCCAATTAACTCCAGTATATATTCCATTGAAAGGATGTGCAATAAATAAATTATATTCAAAATGTACAAAACATTAAATAATAGATAAAACTCTAAAAGAGGATGAAAAAATCCTACACAGCGTCATCTGGTAATACTACATTATGAAGTCTATCGATTGTTCTAATTTGGTCATGATAACTTCAATAGAAACGGGAGGTGGCCATGTAAAAAAATGTTGGATGAATTAAAAAAAAAAAACATCAGAAAAACAATAAGGCCATTCCCAACGTAGGGGAAAGTCAATGAGTAATATCAGGGGCAGTTTAAAAAATAAAGCTGCATAATTAAGCACTGTATTTAATTAACATCCTGTTAAGTTTACTACTGACATAAATATTACTTAATGAATTAATTGTCACCTTGAATTCATTATTTTCCTTCAGATTGACAGTATCAGATATATCAAAACTGTTAACGGAATTTCCTGCCACAACAAATCGTTTACAAAACTCTTCGACATTGCTGTTGTATTTAATACAAACAAATATGTTCTCACTATTTGAGGCATCGTTGTTCTGTAAAGTTAAAGTCAATGATATTTCATACATTCCAGGGGAAATAACTCTGAATAATCCAGTATTTGTATGATATTTAACTTCAGTGGACGGCGTGTTCTGGAATGGAATAAAATACAGTGAATTTGATACCTGACCTTCTCTCAGTCGACTTGCATTAACATGGAAGACTTGGATGACAGATTTAGACTGTAATGTTTCCTTCTTGACGACTGAGTTCATGACAAACCACAAAACAATCGTAGTTCCAATACACATTAAATACAAAATTGCAAAAGCTAGTGTTCTAAGTCTTCTGTTCCGTTTTACCCTATTTCGACTTTCTTGACAAGAGCTTTTATGGCAGTCTGCAGTTTTTGTAAAGCTTAAATTCTGGTTTGATAATTTAAAATCATTTTGTAAGTTTTGTTGCTGCTCATCAAACACCATACTTATATTAGAACAGTATTGTTTGTCTATAGGCTTGTTGATTTCGTTTTTCAAACTGATATATTCCCCACTTAAGTCGTCCCTCAGTTCAACGGGTGACATTTTATAAGATTTTACTGTACAGCAGGAATGCTGGTTCTGTAAACATTTTACGCTTAAGTTCATGTCCTGTGACATTTTGCATGTACCAGATATGTTTTGCTAGTTTCAATCCTTTCTTACTACGGCGTATTCACCTAAAACAACAATGCAATATGGTGAGTATAAGAATGCATTTATTTCAAATTTTTAAAATTTTATTTTAAACAACGTTTAAGTTTTCAAATAATCTTTGAAATGTGAACGCAAATGATTAACCATGACATGTTAAGCACCTTTGAAAATGAAACTAATGTTGCTGATAAA